GAATGAAGACATTGATAACAGTAGTGAAGACTCGGCGGTAGAGATGACAACAAATGACTGGAAAAGCAGATATCCTCTAAATATATGCCATAATAAATATATAAGAGATAATTGTTATGATCTGACACTCAATGCATTTATTTGTCCCATAAATAAGTGCCACAAGAGGTACGAAACGGACCGCAAGTTTCGGATACACTTAACGAATTGTCATTGCGAGGGATCGTATGTCTGTCAATACGGTGGTTGTGGTGAAGCGTTTCCCACGCAGACCAGTCTCAGTGACCACATTAGGACACATCTACCGGTGGTCAGCGACATGAGTTCACATGAGTACAAATGCCCTCTAAATACATGTGAAAGAGACAAATGTTATGATTTGGACGCAAAGACATACATTTGTCCCATCAATGAGTGCCACAAGAGATACATAACTGACAGACAATTTCGTAAACACTTGAGGGCCACTCATAGCGAAAAACAATATGTGTGTCCACACGAAGGCTGTGGTAAAGCATTTACGGTAAACGCACGCTTAGCTCAACACTCATTAACTCACACAACAATTAAATCGTTTAAATGTGATTATAATGGCTGTCAGTATCGATGCGTTAGTGAAAGATATTTGGCGGCACATGTGATGAGACACTCGACGGACAGACGGTTTAGATGTCATGTCATCGGATGTCAGAAGACATATAAGTCGGCGTCTGGTATCGATCACCACCGGCGGTCACACAGGACTGAACCAACGTTTAAGTGCTGTTTCGACGGCTGTAGCGAAAAGTTTCACAAATCACACGATCGGAGCAAACATCAAGTGATGGTTCATAATCAGCGGCGGAAGAAACATGTGGCGCGTAAGCGCCGGTGCCAATGGCCCGGATGTGATTGGATGGGAACAGGTGTGTCCAAACACGAGCGCATTCATACTGGTGTGAAACCATTCGCCTGCGATTGGCCCGATTGTGGCAAACAGTTCAGCAGCAATACTAGACTCAAAGAGCACCTGAATGTCCACAACTGTGTTAAGCCGTATGCGTGTCAATGGCCCGGATGTGAGTACACGACCGCCAGTGCTTCTAATGTTGTTAAGCATAGAAAACAAGTCCACAAAATGTAAACTTAATTTTTAATTATATTTATAGTAATCTATAATTTTATGAACATTTTTAATGTTATTTACGATTAAATTAAATTATTTTTAACAAAAATATTTAAACTTTGTATTTATCATAAGTTTTGTGAACTTTGTTTGTGAACGTAATTAATAGACTATTCATTCAATTCTTACTGTATTTTACATTTTGTTTACTTTTTTGACAATAAATTGTTGTTTACTTTAAGACTTAATTTATAATTAAATTAATTGTGAATTCGTTTTAAATGTAATTTGAAGTGAAATATGAAATCAAAGAGTAATAAAAAGTCATTAATTATTAGTATTAATGATATTTTGGATGAATTAATGGTTGAAAATAAACGACTTTTACATGAAATTCAATGTTTGAATGAAATGAAAATATATTTATTTAAAATTCACTCAAAATATGAAACACTTATCGATTCAGAAGACAATCAACACTTCCGGACATTATCTCAAACATTGTATCAATTGAATGGTCAGAAGATTATCACAAATGACAGTCATATCAACACCGGATCTAATGTCCGATTGAAGAGTCCATCAAATGATCAACAATTGGATCAATCAAGTGATGAAACACAAGACGTTTGTGAAGACATGTCTGAAGACTCGGATGACAGCAATGGTTGCGATTTGAGACCAAATATCAAAGAAGAACTAAAAGACAATTCAGTGGAACCGATGAATGCAATGAAGAGTTTAATCAATACTAAACTGCAATCACTTTTGAAAAAGAGTGTAATTTCGTCGACATCTCAGTCGTCACCACAAAAGCTGGTCTCCAAAGACATGAGTGGAAAACAATTGATCCCAAGAAGTGGTCAGAAAGTAATTCAAAAACCCAGAAGTAAAGACCCGATGGATGTAATTAGAGCTAAACAACAGTTGAAGAGATTATTTTGTGAAAATAGCGGTCAAAGTGACAAAAGTATTGCTTTGAATACAAATGCATTCAATTGTCCCGTAAATGAGTGCCACAAGAGTTACAAAACTCTTCATGAGTTTCGCCGACACTTGGGATTAGTTCACAGGAAAAGACTTATTTATGTAAATAAAAGTAGCGATAAAACTATTAATACAAATCAAGTCAATCACGAGTCCACACAATCAAAGTCATTGACATTTCAAATATCATCGCAAACTGTGTTTAACGAACACATGTATGAAGACATTGATAACAGTAGTGAAGACTCGACGGTAGAAATCACAACAAATCACTGGATAACCAGATGTCCTCTAAATATATGCGAAAGAGATAATTGTTATGATCGGACACTCAATGCATTTATTTGTCCCATAAATAAGTGCCACAAGAGGTATGAAACGGACGGCAAGTTTCGGATACACTTAACGGATTCTCATTGCGAAAGACCGTATGTCTGTCAATACGGAGGTTGTGGTAAAGCCTTTCCCACGCAGACCACTCTCAGTGACCACATTAGGACACATCAACCGGTGGTCAACGAAGACATGAGTCCACGTGTGTCCAAATGTGCTCTAAATGCTTGCGAAAGAGACAAATGTTATGATTTGAACGCAAAGGCATACATTTGTCCCATCAATGAGTGCCACAAGAGATACATAACTGACAGACAATTTAGTAAACATTTGAGAGCCACTCATAGAGACAAACAATATGTGTGTCCACACGAAGGCTGTGGTAAAGCATTTGCATATAACGCAAACTTAGAGCAACACTTAATAACTCACAGAACAATTAAATCGTTTAAATGTGATTATAATGGCTGTCAGTTTCGTACTGTCAGTGAAAGATATTTGGCATCACATGTGATGAGACACTCGACGGACAGAGTGTTTAGATGTGATGTCAACGGCTGTCAGAAGACATATAAGTCAGCGTCTGGTATTGATTTCCACCGGCGGTCACACAGAACTGAACCGACGTATAAGTGCTGTTTTGATGGCTGTAGCGAAAAGTTTCAGAAATCAAGCGAACGGATCAAACATCAGGTGATGGTTCATAATCAGCGACGGAAGAAACATGTGGCGCGTAAGCGTCGGTGCCAATGGCCCGGATGTGATTGGATGGGAAATGATCTGCTCAAACACGAGCGCAGTCATACCGGTGTGAAGCCGTACGCCTGTGATTGGCCCGATTGTGGCAAACGGTTTAACACCACTTGTAGACTCAAAGAGCACCTCAATGTCCACAACTGTGTTAAGCCGTATGCGTGTCATTGGCCGGGATGTGAGTACACGACCGCCAGTAGTTCTAATGTCGTTAAACATAGAAAACAAGTCCACAAAATTTAAACTCAATTTTTAATTGTATTTATAATTACTTATGATTTTATAGACATTTTTGAATATTATTTACGATTAAATTAAATTATTTTTAACTAAAATATTTAAACTTTGTATTCATTATAAGTTTTATTAACTTTGTTTGTGAACGTAATTATTGACTATTCATTCAATTCTCACTGTTTTTTACATTTTGTTTACATTTTTTGACAATAAATTGTAGTTTACTTTAAGACTTAATTTATAATTAAATTAATTGTGAATTAGTTTTAAATGTTATTTGAATTGAAATATGAAATCAAAGAGTAATAAAAAGTCATTAATTATTAGTATTAATGATATTTTGGATGAATTAATGGTTGAAAACAAACGACTTTTAAATGAGTTATTGTTTGGAAACAAATGTTTGAATGAATTGAAAACACATTTAATTAAAATTCACTCAAAATATGAATTGTATGGACTCGTGATTGACTTGATTTGTGTTAATAGTTTGATCGCAACTTTTATTTACATAAATAAGTCGTTTCCTGTGAACTGATGCCAAGTGTCGGCGTAACTCATCATGAGTTTTGAAACTTTTGTAGCACTCATTTACGGGACAATTGAAAGCATTTGTATTTAAAGCAATACTTTCACAAAATAATCTCTTTAACTGTTGTTTAGCTTTAATTACATCCATCGGGTCTTTACTTCTGGTTTTATGAATTACTTTTCGACCACTTCTTGGGATCAATTGTTTTCCACTCATGTCTTTGCAGATCAGTTCTTGTGGTGATGACTGAGATGTCAGTGAAATTACACTCTTTTTCAATAGCGATTGCAGTTTAGTATTGATTAAACTCTTCATTGCATTCATCGGTTCCACTGAATTGTCTTTTAGTTCTTCTTTGATATTTGGTCTCAAATCGCAACCATTGCTGTCATCCGAGTCTTCAAACATGTCTTCACAAACGTCTTGTGTTTCATCGCTTGATTGATCCAATTGTTGATCATTTGATGGACTCTTGAGATCATTAAATCCAGTGTTGGTATGACTGATATCTAGAGATATCGATGGTTTTGTTTTCGCTTTTGTGGACACTTTTGGCTGTCTTTTAGTGTATTTGCGCTTATTTTTAATGGATTTGCCGTAACTTTGATCCGAGTCTTCACTAATGGTGTCTTCGTTTGATTCAATCACTTCTTGAGATGTAAGTCGTTTTGGTCTTAATTTTTTAGCATTAGATCCGGTGTTGATATGACTGTCATTCGTGGTACTCTTCTGACCATTCAATTGATCCAATGTTTGAGATAATGACCGGAAGTGTTGATTGTCTTCTGAATCGATAAGTGTTTCATATTTTGAGTGAATTTTAATTAAATGTGTTTTCAATTCATTCAAACATTTGTTTCCAAACAATAACTCATTTAAAAGTCGTTTGTTTTCAACCATTAATTCATCCAAAATATCATTAATACTAATCATTGAATCCATAATTGTATTCAAAATCACATTTAAAACAAATTCACAATTAATTTGAATACAAATTAAGTCCAAAACTAAACAATTAATTTGTGGCAAAAAATGTAAACAAATGACAAAACATATGATAAGTGAAGGGATTGTTTGATCATTGCTTTCAATGCATATAAAAGTTATAACTTTTTACTGAAGTTTGGATCAAATGAAGTGAAACACAATCTCTGATACAAATGTGACAAATGATTACAAATCAAATTAACTATAATTTATTATATAATAAAACAGCTAAAAGGCATTCAAATGAAAGACCACTTCTTGGGATCAGCTCTCGACACAAATATCTTAAGCAAAAGTCAATGAAAATTATTTGGCACTAAAAATGAGTCATTTTAAATGACAATACTTTACAAATACAGTCCAACTTCTCTTGGGTGAACTTCTCTTGGGTGAACTTCTCTTGGGTGAACTTCTCTTGGATGAACACCTCCTTTGAATGAACGGTTTTGAGATATATTTTGGGTTTTCTATACCTATAACAGAACCTCCCGCTGGATGAACCCTCCCTATAATGAACACTTTTGTCGTGCAACTGACCGTTCATTATAGAGAAGTTGGACTGTATTTTAAACCATTAGTTAATATATACTAATATTAATGAATTAATTGAAAGTGTTTTAAAATGCAATTATTATTTGTGATTAACTTTTTAAAGTAATGTCAGAGCATTTGAATTACTTATAATTTGGTCAATACAAATGTTTAGTATTACAGTATTACGTTAGTGATACATGTATTCACAAATTATTTATACAAAATTATGACATTTATAATTGTTTTATTAATTTATAAATTACTATAAATATTAAGTATACATTTTGTGGACTTGTTTTCTATGCTTAATAACATTAGGACTATTAGCGGCCCTATACTCACATCCGGGCCAATGACACGCATATGGCTTAACATTGTTGTGAATATTCATGTGCTCTTTGAGTCTAGTAGTGGTGCGAAACCGTTTACCACAATCCGGCCAATCGCAAGAGAACGGCTTTTCACCGGTATGTAAGCGCATGTGATGATTCACATGGGTTCCCCTCCAATCACATCCGGGCCATTGGCACCGGCGCTTAGGCTCCACATGAAACTTCCGCCGCTGGTTATGAACCATCACCTGATGTTTGATCCGATCGTGTAATTTGTGAAACTTTTCGCTACAGCAGTCGAAACAGCACTTAAACGTCGGTTCAGTTCTGTGTGACCGCCGGTGGATATCTATACCAGAGGCTGACTTATATATCTTCTGACATCCGTTGACATCACATCTAAACTGTCTGTCCGTCGAGTGTCTCATCACATGTGCCGCCAAATACTTTTCACTAACAGTACGAAACTGACAGCCATTATAATTACAATTAAACGATTTAATTGTTCTGTGAGTTATTAAGTGTGCGGTTAAGCGCGAGTCTAATCCAAATATTTTACCGCAACCTTCGTGTGGACACACATATTGTCTTTGGCTGTGAGCTGTTCTCAAGTGATCACGAAACTTATCATTGCATTCATAACTCTTGTGGCACTCATTGATGGGACAAATGTATGATTTAGTGCTCATTTCTAAACATTGCTGTCTTTGGGCAAAACTGAGAGGACATATAGATTTGTAGGGATGAGTGCGTTCACCACTCAATCCATTTCTATTCATATCATCTAATTTTCTTAACGCTTGTTTTGCTTTCACTTTTTCCACCGATTCTTCACTTCTGGTTCCATGAGTTTTGTTTGAAGGACTTCTTGGGATCAATTGTTTTGATGTCGTTTTATTGGTCGCATCGACGCCACTGTTTCTATGGATGTCTTCGCAGACTTTTTTGAAATCTAATTTCTTTAACTGTTGTTTTGCTTTCATTACTTCCATCGAGTCTTCACTACTATTTTCAATGATGTCTTCGCAGACCAGCTCTTGTGGTGATGATTGAGATGTCAGTGAAATTACACTCTTTTTCAAAAGCGATTGCAGTTTAGTATTGATTAAACTCTTCATTGCATTCATCGGTTCCATTGAATTATCGTTGAGTTCTTCTTTGATATCTGGTCTCAAATCGCAACCATTGCTGTCATCCGAGTCTTCAAACATGTCTTCAGTCATATCTTGTGTTTCATCTCTTCGTTCATTCAATTGTTGATCATTTGATGGACTCTTCAATCGAACATTAGATCCTGTGTTGATATGACTGTCATTTGTGGTAATTTTCTGACCATTCAATTGATCCAATGTTTGAGATAATGTCCGGAAGTGTTGATTGTCTTCTGAATCGATAAGTGTTTCATATTTTGAGTGAATTTTAATTAAATGTGTTTTCAATTCATTCAAACATTTGTTTGCAAACAATAACTCATTTAAAAGTCTTTTGTTTTCAACCATTAATTCATTCAAAATATCATTAATATTAAAATCCAATGACTTTTCGCTAATCACTGAATCCATAATTGTATTCAAAATAACATTTAAAACTAATTCACAATTAATTTGAATACAAATTATATCCAAAACTAATCAATAATTTTGTGGCAAAAAATGTAAATAAATGCCAAAACATATGATAAGTGAAGGGATTGTTTGATCATTGCTTTCAATGCATAAAAAAGTTATAACTTTTAACTGAAGTTTGAATCAAATGAAGTGAAACACAATCTTTGATACAAATGTGACAAAAGATTACAAATCAAATTAACTATAATTTAGTTTATTTTATAATTTATAAGGCATTCAAATAAAAGACAAGCTCTTGGGATCAGCTCTCGACACAAATATCTTAAGCAAAAGTCAATGAAATTTATTTGGCACTAATAAATTAGTAATAGATGTATTCACACATTATTTATACAAAATTATGACATTTAAAATTGTTTTATTAAATTAAAAATTCCTATAAATATTAAGTTTACATTTTGTGGACTTGTTTTCTATGCTTAACAATATTACCACTATTAGCGGCCCTATACTCACAGCCGGGCCAATGACACGCGTGTGGCTTAACATTGTTGTGAACATTCATGTGTTCTCTGAGTCCACTCCCGTAGCGGAACCGTTTGCCACAATCGGGCCAATCGCAGGCGTACGGCTTCAAACCAGTGTGTATGCTCTCGTGTAGTGGCAGATGGTGTCCCATCCAATCACATCCGGGCCATTGGCACCGGCGCTTCCGTTTCACCTTTAACTTCCGCCGCTGATTATGAACCATCACTTGATGTTTGTTCCTATCATTTAATTTGTGAAACATTTCGCTACAGCCGTCGAAACAGCACTTAAACGTTGGTTCAGTTCTGTGTGACCGCCGGTGGATATGGATACCAGACGATGACTTATATGTCTTCTGACATCCGTTGACATCACATCTAAACACACTGTTTGTCGAGTGTCTCATCACATGTGCCGCCAAATACTTTTCACTAACGCATCGATACTGACAGCCATTATAATCACATTTAAACGATTTAATTGTTCTGTGAGTTAATGAGTGTTGAGCTAAGCGTTTGTTTATCGTAAATGCTTTGCCACAGCCTTCGTGTGGACACACATATTGTCTTTTGCTGTGAGCTGTTCTCAAGTGATCACGAAATTTATCATTGCATTCATACCTCTTGTGGCACTCATTGATGGGACAAATGTATGAATTAATGCTCACTTCAAAACATTGCTGTCTTTGGGCAAAATTGAGAGAACATATAGATTTGTAGGGATGAGTGCTTTCACTACTATTTCTATTCATATCATCTAATTTTCTTAACTGTTTTTTTGCTTTCACTTTTTCCATCGATTCTTCACTTATTATTCCGTGAGTTTTGTTTAAAGGACTTCTTGGGATCAATTGTTTTGATGTCGTTTTATTGGTCGCATCGACGCCACTGTTTCTATGGATGTCTATATATGTTGGGCTGTGAACTGAGTTAAAGTGTTGCTGAAGTTCTTGAGCCGTTTTATAACTCTTGTTGCACTCATTTTTGGCACAAACGAAAGCATTGACAGCCAATTCATAACTGTTGTGTCTTTTAGGTATAGTTTTATAACTCATTTGGCGCTTATTTATGAAAGAAATAAATGCTTTTTTAGACAAATCAATATTTTGAACATTTTTGCCACAATTTTCAGATAATTTCCTCAACTCTTGTTTAACAGTAATTGTTTGCAACGATTCTTCACTACTGTTTCCAATGATCTCTTCGTTGACCATCTGTTGTGATGTTGATTGAGATGTCGATGACTTTACGTGTATTTTTAATGCTTTGTTTATTTTTAAGATTTTATTATTACTTTTATTTCTTAAAGTAAGTCTTGTTTTGTGAACTAATCTCAAGTGGCGTTCAAACTGATGGATATTTTGATAACTTCTTTGGCATTTACTTATGGGACAAATGAATGTATTTGTAATCAAATCAATACTTTCGTCGCTATCTTTGAGATCTAATTTCTTTAACTGTTGTTTTGCTTTCATTACTTCCATCGAGTCTTCCATCGAGTCTTCACTACTATCTTCAATGATTTCTTCGCAGACCAGCTCTTGTGGTGATGATTGAGATGTCAGTTGTTTAGCTTTAATTACATCCATCGGGTCTTTACTCGTGGTTTTTTGAATTACTTTGCGATCACTTCTTGGGATCAATTGTTTTCCACTCATGTCTTTGGAGATCAGCTCTTGTGGTACTGATTGAGATGTCAGTGAAATTACACTCTTTTTCAATAGTGATTGCAGTTTAGTATTGATTAAACTCTTCATAGCATTCATCGGTTCCACTGAATTATCGTTCGGCTCTTCTTTGATATTTGGTCTCAAATCGCAACCATTGCTGTCATCCGAGTCTTCAGACATGTCTTCACAAACGTCTTGTGTTTCATCTCTTCGTTCATTCAATTGTCGATCATTTGATGGACTCTTGAGATCATTAGATCCACTGTTATAATGACTAGCATTTGAGGTAATCTTCTGACCATTCAATTGATCCAATGTTTGAGATAATGTCCGGAAGTGTTGATTGTCTTCTGAATCGATAAGTGTTTCATATTTTGAGTGAATTTTAATTAAATGTGTTTTCATTTCATCTAAACATTGGATTTCATGTAAAAGTCTATTGTTTTCAACCATTAATTCATCCAAAATATCATTAATACTTATCATTGAATCCATAATTGTATTCAAAATCACATTTAAAACTAATTCACAATTAATTTGAATACAAATTAAGCCCAAAAACTAATCAATTAATTTGTGGGAAAAAAAGTAAACAAATGGCAAAACATATGATAAGTGAAGGGATTGTCTGATCATTGCTTTCAATGCATATAAAAGTTATAAAACTTTATCAAAAAACTTTTTGTCTGAATTGTGGATCAAAACTAATTTTATTAACTAAACAAATAATGAAAGCATAACTTTGAGACACAATAATCATCGATAATAACCATTTGGGTATTAATTGATCACACATTCAATGATTAGATCTCCATTAATGGCGGCATTATTGCCATCGGGAAGTCCTAAACCCACTTTCAATATAAGACACTTGCGATGATTGAACAACCGGTTAATGTCGGGCCAATCGAGCGACACATCCAGTGTCCGGCCGGACGGCAACGGAACAGCTATCGGCTGATCAACGGTCGCGTCCACCAAATCTATGCGAGCCGTGTATACGATATCATTGCCGTGGCGTCGGAACCGGTTGTCGGGCCTGTCTTTCAGCACAAACACAATGTCTTCGGCACAGGAATAGTAGGGATGGTTCCCACGACCGGCAAACACCATACGAGTGCCCGACTTTGAGCCCCGTTTCACAACAATTGTCAGTATTTCCGATTCGGTTGCGAACTCCCGGACCGAATACCACAGCTTTCGGGTCACTTTCATACGCTTAGTGCAGCCCCGGAGCACATCCCGGAGCGACACATACACCGTGTGCTCCACACATCTATTGCGATAGTTTCCATGAGTGGGATGTCTTATGTCATACACTTGTCGTCGTTGACGATCGCTGAGCACCCGATAGACCTCTTGAATCAGTTTAAACTTGTGGTCAATGTTTTTGACTATTGTTATGTCCAATCTTATCGGTATGAAAGCGAAGGGCCAGTCGTTTGTACCCCTTTCTGATGTCCATCTGACTCGCAGTCCTCAACACTCCTAATATCATATAGTAATCAATGTTTGCCATCACTTCCTATACTAATATTATACCAATTTTTATGCTATAAATGATCTGAATTTGAATTAACGGCTGAACCGCTCTTAACCGCAAACACTATTCAAACTAAAACTATTGGTTTCATTATTATTGTAAATGCATTGAGTTTTGCGGTTACAAGCAATTTGAGTAAAACTATAATCAGTTCTCATTCACTTTAACAATAGTTAATACATTATTTGTATTTAAAATCAATTCAAATATATTTTACATTCAAAGACCAGTCATATTGTGATCAATTTTATCTAGTGATTCAATAATTGTTTTAATCATTAGTTTTATTATTCCAAGTTTTTTTTTCATTTGATAGTTTTGATAAGAAATCAATTTAATGATTGTTTTAGTTTTTGTTATAATATTGAAAATATTTTGATAAAATTTACTTCAATGACCAACACTTGAAAATATCTTTGTATTTCTTAAACTATTCATTGCTTTTATCAATAGATTAATACATTTTACGTTAAAATCATTTTATTAAAACACATTTTAAATGCTTAAAAATTTTTATTTTACATTGCATTTTGAGCATAAAATAACAAAATCAATACACAATTAAATCAACTAAAATGCATTACAAAACACTAAACAAGTAGTAAAGCGCCGGCACTGACAGGCCATCCATGTCTAACATCCGGGAACTAATTGTCTGTCCTTACACTTGCCGTCCTTCTCATCGAAGACCAGCACTCCATCGCAGGCGACCTTATCGTCGCTATAGATTCCCGGAAACATTTCCACACATTTGTGGTAATAGTGACAGTCCTTCGGGTCGCGGATCAGCCCCTCGTGAGTGCACACCTGCGGCGCGTGAGTGGGCGCTGCGGTTGGCGGCGGGTGTGTCGGCGACACCACTGGGTCTGTGTTCAGCGCTTTGTTGATGGCCCTCAAGACGGGGTACTTCTCGCCGCACAGACCCTTGAAGTCGTCGTTCTCCAGCGCCTGAACCACAACACCGCCGAAGCCCTCTTTGGTAATGGCGGTCGTCTTAAGGCCGGCCGACACGCCGTCTTCGTAGGAGATCCAGTTGCGGCCGTTCACCGCATACACAGCCATCTCTCGCTCGTCGCGGAACTGTTTCCAACCGGTCGGGTCGGCCTTCACTTCCATACAGAACTATTGGAGTTTGCGATACAACCAAAACCAATACATTAATAAAGTTTTTGCGTTAAATTTAGATATATTTTTATTATGAACAGTAAATTACCTCATTGTAGCCCAATTTACCATCTTGCTGACTCCACGGCCCCTGTTTGCCGGGTCCGGTAGCCTCGGCTCCGATGTNGATTGGAGGGCCGGTCAACGCGGCTGTGATGTCTCCCCGACCGGAACTGATTCCCCTTCGGCGCCGAATATATGTCAGATCTGTTATGATTGAGGTGTGTCTCAGCCATTTCGGTCTACTGGCCATCTGTTTCTGTCCACTCGTATTCATACCGCCGTATTTGATAGCCTTTCACGTGGTTTACGGCAAAACAGCGGCCGATCTATTGATTCTGGACTACCGGACAATTGTCCGCGAGATAACACTCTTTCCCATACAATACACGATTCGGTGTCTCGTCTTAATTGTGTCCGCGTTTTGCAAACTCATTATCTTCTTCGCCATTCTTTGCCACTTCTGTATCGCTATTATCGACAAACATTTTTGCCATTCAATCGTCTGATTATAACATTGTTTTCATAGTTTAGTTTATTTGAAGAGATATTTTAAATATTGGTTTAATTAATTTTATTAATTGATGTTTTATTTGTAATATTTTACTAAATAAATGATTAAATTTAAAAATGTAGTTATTTTTTGTTTAATAATTATTTGTTCAACAATTTCAATTATTTGTTGATATTATTTATGAATTTATAGCTAAATGTCAATTAGTTTTAATTTAAGAATTTATTTGTTATAAATCTAATAAATAACAAATATTTTCAATTGAAAACAAAATAATAAACTAAATTCTTGATAACAACCAAAAGTACAGTACATTTGCATTGACTTACATTACTGTTAAACCAATTCAACAGAATTTCTGGTTTACAATAAGTTATTGTCAATAACATTAAAAAACAAATTATAGAATGTATTTCAAAATATTCAATGAGTGTATAATTAGTTGATTTAAGATATAATGTTTTATATAATAATCAGATTCTAAATTCGCAAACAAATACAATAATAACTGATAAATTAATATCCAAACACATCCGTATACTTTATACAGTGATCCAATAGCTCTAAACAAGCTTGATACTTTAGTACCAATTGAGATTAGTAATTAGGTGTGCGACCAAGCTGCTTTTACGTCAAAACAAATTACATATTAAGATATTATGTATATTTATGTACTATCAATAAAACAGTGGTTTAATTGGTAACCAATGATTGCGGATACGATTTCACGGTATATCCTATGGATTAAATGATACCATAAATGATTTGAGTTTACTATTAATTATAGTTTTTAAATAAATTAAAACTTTTGCGATTAGAAATGGGTTTCTTGGAAATGAAACCATTTTCAGTGATAACTCAACAAAATAATAAATGACTTTGAAATCCACTTATAATTATTGCGATTATTATTGATTAACATTTAATGAATGTAAAGTAAAATATTACTGTTATTGATATGTGCAACAAAATCAACCAGATAAGTTTTTGCTAACAAACTGCATGTGCTTAAGTGCTCAAGGTAAGTAATCACCTATTATTACCTCAGTTAATTATAATTGGATTATCTTATATTCACAAAATATATTGATAAAAAGTTTCAGGATTTGAATGACTATATATTCAAAGTGCCAAACAATACACAAATCACTTCATAACACAATTTTGTTCAGTCTGTATGAGACTATAAATTATCATTAATTTATTGTATAATTTATTTATTTAGTTAAAAATATAACATAGTAGTTTTTCAAAATGTTTAGACAGGCATTTATTCTGTGCTCAATTTTGGTATGTTTTGGGCAAATAAATTGTGTATTGAATCCGAAAGTCATTTGTTATTATGAAGATTGGTGTAAGTATTTAATAAAATAAGTTATTTTAAATAACATACAGTATATCATTATTAATATTTAAAATAACCATAATTAATAAATCAAATTTTAAACCAAATAGTCTATTGGCGTACCGGTGATGGTAAAATGACCGTCCACGATGTCGGTGAGTACACAATTTCATACCAATTAAATTAACCCTAATTTAATTTAATTAAAATTTTCCAATGAATTACAGACAACACTCTGTGCACACATATGGTGTACGGCTATCAGGGCATCGATAGGGACAGTACTATCAAACTGGCCGACGAGTACCTCATGAAGACATTGCGTAAGTATTACCACATAATTCAACCAGAATTTCACACTAATTTGGGGCCCAAAACTCGCAACTAATCCGCCAATACTTACAGACGATTTGGACAACTTCTCGAAAAACAAGGGCAAAGGCCAGGCGTTGGTGGCCATCGGCGGGTGGTCACTGTCGAGCGGTTTCACCCAGGTGGTGTCCACCGACTCGGACATCCGTACGTTCACCAACAGTATTATGTCATTCCTGAGCACATATAACTTCGATGGAGTGATGTTGGACTGGACACCAAAGGGTGCGTTCACTTCCAGCGAAAACGACGGGTTTGTCAAACTGTTGAGCAGTATTCGCACCGCTTTCGGCGCCAAATACACACTCGGTATTACTGTCTCGCCGGTGGTCACCGGTCTCAGCGTTGATCGCGTCGATCAGTAAGAGTCTTCATATAACTCATACCCAAAAATTAATACCGACTAATGTTAACACAATTATTGTCTGTTTTAAACGCACAGATATGTGGACATCATTGCTGTCCAGACATACGATATGCACGGCTCGTGGGAGAAACAGGTGGGCATCGGTGACCCGGCCACCTGGACTCTGGAGACTTTGAGACAGTGGTATAAGGACGGTGCAAGCATGACCAAGCTAATTGTAAGTTATCACATATCAAACATGTTAGGATACTTATGCTAAATTTGTATCATTAAAACAATGAAGGCCACAATCCCGCTGTACGGCCACACCTGGATCCTCGCCGACCCCAACAAGTATGACATCGGAGCCGAGGCTACCGGACCCGGCAAACAGGGACCGTGGAGTCAACAAGATGGTAAATTGGGCTACAATGAGGTAATTTACTGTTTACAATAAAAAAATATGTCTAAATTTAACGCTAAAACTTTATTCATTAATGTTTTGGTTGTATTGCGAACTCCAATAGTTCTGTATGGAAGTGAAGGCCGACCCGACCGGTTGGAAACAGTTCCGCGACGAGCGAGAGATGGCTGTGTATGCGGTGAACGGCCGCAACTGGATCTCCTACGAAGACGGCGTGTC